CCGGCCGGGATGGCGTCTACCGCCAGCTCCGCCTGGAGGGCCAGCAGCTGGAGGTCCTGCGGAAGCACAGGCCCTGCAAAGGGCTGCAGTGGATCGAGGAGCTGCGCTTTACCCAGGACGGGGACTTGCTTGTGCTGGGCTTTCACGCTGACAATTTTGTGGTGTGGAGCAGCAAGACCGGCGACAACCTCCACTGCATCCCCTGCGGCGGGGGGCACCGTTCCTGGAGCTACTGCAGCAGCCCCTCAGCCGAGGCCTTTGCCTTCGTCAAGTGCGGGGATGTGATGCTGTACCACCACGAGGCCAAGCCCTGTGAGCAGCAGGTGCTCCTGGCGTCCCTGCACGGGCGGGAGATAGCCTGCGTGCGACGCCTGGGGGCAGTGGAGGTGCCCGGCCACACCACCCTTAATGTCTTTGTCACCGGCAGTGAGGACACCACGGCCTGCGTCCTGGTGCTCAGTGAGTGCTCCCGGATGGCTGTGCCCCTTGCCCGGCTCAGCGACCACATCTCCAGTGTGAGGGCACTGGCAGTGGCCAGCCCCACAGGACCCAGCGACAAGGACTTGGGTGACGAGGGCTTGTCCACCCTGCTCTTCTCTGCGGGCGGCCGGGCACAGATTGAGTGCTACCGGCTGCTGTGTGCCAGGGACACAACCTCCGACAGTGCTGTGGCCTGCCAGGTCATCCATGTGGCCTCCCACCGGCTGGACGAGCACTGGGAGCGGAAGAAGAACAGGCATAGGCTTGTCAAGATGGACCCAGAAACGAGGTGATGCTCAGGGACTGCCTGAGGCAGGGTTAGCAGTGATTGCAGTCTCAGAGGGCACTGGGAATCATGCTGGCCTCCATAGGGATACCCACTCCACATGGCTGTGGGCTCAGCCGAGGCAGAGGGAGGCATTTTGGCTCCCTTTAGGCACATGTCCCTGGTGTTCTGTGCCCACTGGCTGGGTCTTGAGGGACTTTTTGGGGTATAGAAAAGGCTCGGCCTTACCCTCCTGCCTTTACTGAGTACTCAGAGCTGTGTCCCACACTGGGTTTAGGGTGCTCTGCTGGGCCACCCATCTCCCTGGGGCCACAGGTATCACTGTGGCATTGGTTAACATCATGTGTTTGCTGCAGGTACATGTCCCTCTCGGTTGTGCCTGGGACCACCACAGAGCAGCTGCCGACGCCCTGGAAGTTTCTCTCAGCCGCATGCAGTGACGGATCGGTCCGGTGAGGAGCCATCATGGGGCTTGGTGACAAGAACAGAGCTGGGGCTGGTGACCGGAACAGAGCAGGCTCACTGGGGAGGCTACTGCTGTGGACGTGGCTGTCTCCAAGCCTGGAGCAGGATGGCACACGGTGGGAAGTGGGAGCAGAGGCACCAGAAGCCCCCTTCTCACATGGCCAACTGCCCTCTGCTCCAATGCAGGGTCTTTGGGCTGCTGGAGGCCGCCCGGAAGCTGGTGCTAGTGGCGGAGTCATTTCACCACCAACGCTGTGTGCTGAAGGTGCAGGCATT